TCTCCCTCCCTCTCTCCCTCTCTATCTCTCTCTTTATATATATATATATATATATATATATATCCCTTTTTTTCTCTCTATTCCTCTCTCTCGTAGGTGTATGTGCGTATGTGTATTACCTTCTGTACCTTCCAGTCTAACGCCTGTATACCATCCTTTCCAACATAACCTTACAACCCCACAGGATCTCCGCGTAAGATACAACCAGGAGAACTACATGAAGGTGTTTGGAGACGAGCCCGAAGTCTGCAAAAACATCATGAAGTCTGAGGAGGAACCTTCCCTTCAGAACCTCGTGAGTCGCTGGCTGGAGCGGACACCGGGACTGGAGGAAAAGGGCTTCAATTTCTGGACGAAATACAAAATGGCCGTGGACAGCATTTTGACGCAAGAGTACCGAGAGGCTGAGGTAACATTTGTCTTATTTGTTGTTGTAGTAGGGGCTCTATAGGGGAGGATTTTCTCTTGATGAGGTATAAGGAGTGGGTTCCCATTGGCGGTGTATATAGCACAGGGAGTTGTATATTGAATTATGATGTTAGAAACGTAGATGTTTTGATAGGTGTCCATGACCGCAGTCCTTTTCATGAAGGGGCAAAACAGTCGCTTTCACTCACATACACAAAAGAGGCGTTGTGAGTATCCTAACATAGCTATCGCATTCCTAGAAGCATTGTCCTTGTGCCCAACATCACAGACCTTGTCCCTAACATCATCGTCCTTGTCCTTGACATAATCGTCCTTGTCCCTAAAATCATCGTCCTTGTACTTAACATCGCCCTTGTCCCTAATATTATCATCCTTGTACTTAACATAATCGTCCTAGGCCCAAACACTACTGCCCTTTTTCCAACCCAGAGCGAAGAGTGCGAAACCTTACGAGGCCACCTCATCGACCAAAACAAGAGGCGACGAGAGCTCTTCGACAGCATCTTCGACGCGAGGATCCACAACGCACTCATGGCACGCGGCGAGAGACGTCTCACGCACCGGGCCATGCAGGGAGCTCTCATGATTTCCTTGTACAGGGAGGAATCGCGGTTCAACCAGCCTCACCAGCTCCTTCAGCTCCTCATGGATGTTGACTCGCTCATGACCAAGTGGCGATGTAAGTTGCATTGGGGGGAAATTTGTGCTTGTTGGGACTTCCCTACATGAATGGATTTTCGTTAGAAGAACGTAATTGGAGTTGATATGTTGCGTGTAGAAAGGTAGGAGGTAACTGCTAACGTTAATATACACGTAGAGCAGTAGTTCCCAACCTTTTCTATTCTGTATGTAATATATATAGTATATAATAATCTCAATAGTCCCGTTCAGTGTCTGTTATCCTTGCAGATTCAGTTATTACTAGATATAAATAGTGTAATGGTACTAAAAGCTATAGGACAAAAACTGATTGGAACGATTCAAATCTATTAATATGTAAGATATAACTATAGGTACTTTAAGTAAGACAAAATACTGTTTAATGCGAAGTCAGAATTTTCATAAAGCTCCATGGCCCTCCAGTTGGGAACACGGATGTAGACATTTTGTAAAGACAGATGCACTGTATTTTTTAGGGAAAAATACTTTGGTACATATTTTTTTTCCTCCTTCCTTCATATTAATTTAAAGAAATACCCTCTGCTTATTTTTTACATGTTGTGGAGACAATTACTTTTAATTATCAATTATTATTAATATTAAATTCTTTCTGTTCCTTCCTTTAATTTATATGACCAGAAGCAACAGTAATTTCAAAACAAGGATGCTCAATTACCCTGTGCTATCTTTAATACATATATCTTATTACAGACAGCCACGTGATGTTAGTGCAGAGGATGATCGGGTCTCAGCAGATTGGCACTGGTGGTTCGTCAGGTTACCAGTACTTGCGTTCCACTCTCAGGTACGTGTATACAGTGGTGATTTCTGGGCTACTTTTGTCCTTCGTAATACAATGATATTCGTAAATACAGGGATATTAGATTTGTTTGTTGTGTTTTCCTGGTACTGTGTCATTCGTAGGACAGGGAAATTAGGTTGTGTGTTTTTTTGTTTTTTTTGGTTGTTCATCCCTTCGTGTAATGAAGTATTTTCATTGTATGTAAGCTGTGACTGCTACATTCTTCTTTTGAAACAGTTTAGAGGAAATAAGTACTGCAGTATACAACATGATGCTATATTGAGCATGATAATGAAGAAGAACGCTCATTACTTTGTCAAATTCCATTTCAATTTATTCTAAACATATTTTGAAAGCATTGGCTCATCACCTCACAAACCCCAACTCACACATTTTTTTCTTCTTTTATCAAACTGCCAGTGATCGTTACAAGGTGTTCATCGATCTGTTCAACCTGAGCACCTTCCTGCTGCCAAGAAACTGCATCCCGCCCTTAACACGCCAGATGAAGAACCGCCTCAGCATTATGGAGGAGGACCAGAAGGAGGACGAGAGCAAAGTGTCCTCCTCTGCGTTGCACTCGAGCACGAAGGCCTCCATCCCTCCCTCAGACTCGCCTTGCCCTCGGGAAAACGGAGAGGAAAAGGCGTCTTCAGAGAGTGACTTAGAAAAGAGTTTGGAAAATAGTATGGAAAGGTCCTGTGAGGCTTCGATGTAGAGGTCGGAATGGCAACGATATAACTAGGAATTTTACATAAGATGCGCTGTAGTGTTTAGTTGGATATTGTTGGACTTGTCTTTGGCAGTACCTTTTTTTATTTTCGTTCTTTCTTTCTGTCATTCCTTGAGAATTTGCTGTCTGAATAATGTGATAATGGTACATAAACACCTTTCCAATGGTTTTGGCATGGTACAAATGTCCATTTTATTGTATGAAAATGGATAATGTTTATTTGACTTCGACATGTACATGCATTTTTATATATAAATTGCATTAGCTACAGTAACATAAGGTTTTATTTATATAAAGGCAGTTGCTGTGGTGCTGTTTATTTTGCATTTCATTTTGATAAGCTCTCAGTAATGGTATGATATTTCTGCATTTGACAAAATGTGACTTTTACAAAAACTGTGGCTACAACTAATAACCAATGAGCTTATACCTTAAGTCTTGTGAAAAACCTAATACCCAACATTGCTTTTAAAAAGTGTCTAAATATCTGATTTTGGGAACTCGTGTGACATATATAATATATCTTACAAGTGGGTATTTCTGATATAGCTTACATGTATATTTCTTACTATATTGTATGTTTCAAGTGTTAGTATATACAATAAGACCATATATTTTCGAGAGAAAAACAACATAAGACTGCTGTATAGATATGTAGTGAAAGATCATTTAAATAAAAAAGATATTTGTCTCATGAAAATGGCTCCCTTAAATACAAGGACCCAATCCAAACTCTACATTATCAGTCTATTCGTGGTTGAGGTTTTGTTGGCAATATCCGGAGCGCAATGGTAGAGGGTGTGGCCATATATACGCCCTCAACACAGCCAATATAACTATATTTCGCAAATCTCAGAATAGAAAAAATATATATATAATAGTATTAACTCTAGTGTCTGAGATAGACCCACTCAGATTCACCAAGTCTCCTTTGTTAAACTAATCATAAAGTTGAAGGCTATAAATTTCAATTAAAAGACGGAAAAAAATATACGCATGATTTTTAAAGATATAAAACACATGTAAACACAACATTCTGTTTTCACAAATGATATCTGATTAATAGGAGTCCCATAAAGTTGCCAATTTTTTTCCTTTCTAGAAAATAGACTCATTAAGCGAGAAAAAGTCCCATATAAAAAAAGCACTGCAGATTTCTTCTAAATATTTGCCTTATGTTCAAGTGCATTTTTTTTTTCATCAGATCCCACTTAATCTGTATATGTAGATATTTTTTTAATAACACAGTACTTACTAACACCAAGGTATTTCATGTTGAATTATTGAAATATTACCATCTGCAAGAACATTTTTTATACAAGAAAATCTGAAGTTAGGAAGAGAAAAAGTATAGAATTGGCAACCCTGCTTAAGGTTTCATATTCATATCTTCAAAATTATGTTCATTTATTGATTTTCAGTTTTCAGATTAGAAATATTATATATCGTTGGGTGATTGAACCGTATCGAGTTATTTTTAACTGTATTTATAATTAATATTCGAACTATATTAAACATCACTTCACTTCAAGGCACTTTGTCCACATAAGTATTTAAAACCATTAAAATCATCCTCTTTTTTTAAAGCATCTAGTCTGTCACAAATTTATCAATCTCATGATTTTCATTTTTTTTTCTATCAACAGAATAATCTTAGGCTTATTTTGCTTATAGTTTTTTTGTTGTTGTTTGTTCTACTATAAATTGTTGCACTTTATTCACTTGGATAGCATAATTTAGAAGCATTTTTTGTAGGTCATAATATTTAAAAGATCAACAGCTCTGTAAGTGACGTCTGTTCCATTCCTATTGCATTTTATGGAAGGTAGAAAAAAATAACATTATAAGTTTACGAGGCAGAAAAGATTATGACAGAGGATATGGCATGGTCCATTTCTGGTACTATATATGTTAGTACATCCTGGCTAAAACGAGATATATAAATGTGTGTGTGTGTGTGTGTGTGTGTGTGTGTGTGTGTGTGTGTGTGTGTGTGTGTGTGTGTGTGTGTGTGTGTGTGTGCGTGTGTGTGTGTGTGTGTGTGTGTGTGTGTGTCTGTATATATGTATATATATATATATATATATATATATATATATATATATATATATATATATATATATATATATATATTCAGTATATGTATGTATGGTATGGATCTGATTTTAAGGTAATTCACAATAATTCAGAACAAATAGAAACAAAAGGAAAAGACCGAAAACACGATTGTTTTGCCCATTATCTTCAGGAAAGCATTCTTAAGGGCAATGCCATGTGCCTCAGACAAAACCTAAGGCAAAAAGATATAAAGTTAACATTAATATCAGATATGGTTATTTTCCTTTTTCTCCAACCTTCATGATGAAATAATAACTGCTAAAGCATTTTCATCCCAATAGACAGACTGTCAGTGCAGGTCGATGCTTACAGAAGTACTATGAAAGTTTACAGGGATAGATTGTTAGCACTTTTTGGTAGTATTTGTTATGTTTCAGCTTCTCACTTGTATCTATGCTGTAATTGGTATCTAAGGCGTTATTTCACTGGTATTCTTTATGGTTTTACATTCATTGTTTGATTATTATGACTTAATTAAAGCTATCAGCACTGCCAACACTGTAGAAAAAGAGCTCATGTACAGATATTTGTGGCTCGATAAAGTTCTCCAGAGACAAGAACAGAATGTAGTTGAAATAATGAGTTCTGTAGAGGAGGTACTTTGTCACGTTCACAAAGTGACCTGTGAGGCTAAGGGGTCACATTTTCAAGAACTCCATTATTTTTGTACTGTGAAGAATAAGAACCTATATTTGATTGCATATTATTATCTGGTTAAGACTTCTGGTGAAAACAAAGACATTTCTTGTAATGACTGCCATGTCCTCTTATGAAATACAGTAGGCTAAGTTTTATTTTTTGATTTAACGTTCTTGCCAATTTTTTTTTCAGAGCCAATGTTAGTTTTTTGTTTTTTTTTGCATTATGGTAAAGCATTTATTTAAACTTTACTGGGGATAATGTTTAAATGTTACATACCGTATTTGCCGGTTCATATGATGCCCTTTTCAGATAAAAAGCCCATACATCCGAATTGCCGAAGCTGGTGCCAAGTTCCGATTGTATAAAATGCAAAGTTGGAGTGATCTGTGTTAGTCAAACACATATTTAGTTTAATTTGTTAATATTAGTACTAATGACTCACTACAACACAATTCATATCAAGCAAAAAATAATTATTTGTTTAAGGGTGTAATCTGACGAAATTCTAGCATACTATTTGCTAACCCGTGTTATGGTACCCATAAAAAAGGAACTTTGATTTCTCATTCATTATTGTTGAGTTTCTGGTGCTTTCAACATTTTCTTAAAATTTTTGTAATAGTTTTTTTTCACGACCAAACCGCTGTTACACCATAATTAAATTTATGAGACCATTACTGTATCTTTTAGTTTCTTCTTTTTCAACGACCAAATTATCTTCCCACAAGCGAAAGAATTATTCTGCGTGAGATATTAACGTATTTAATGTAATATTTAACCATGGCGGATTTAACAACAATAATAAATGATCTTAGGAAAGTCTCAGGAAAAAAACTGTCTGTTGCCATTGGATTCGTGTTGCCAAATGCTACATTGCAAATTGCAAAACTCTTGCTATGTTTTAAAAATCAAATCAGATTTAGTTGAGTTCAGTGAAATCTGCGGCAGCTAGATTTTTTTTTCTTTTTGTCTATTGTGAGTGCAATCTATCAAAACATTTTTTTTAAGCTCATCATTGGTACCTTACTATTGACTTTTTCCTACATTAATTTGACTGCACGATCAGATAATGTATATGTTTTTTTTTATGTTTATTACTTTGTTTGCTATGTAATAATATCCATTTCTTATTTTCTTAAGATTTTTGTATTTATTTATTCATGCTTTTCTTGTACATTTACCAATTTATTCATTTATTTTTTTACTGAAATGTTGCCTTTGTCTCCATGTGGTATATATATACAGTATTTAAAACAATTCATTGAAGTATTTGGAATTGACTATATACTATTTTATTACGATATTTTTTGTTTTCAAAAACAGGGGTGTGTTTTATAGGCAGGTTTGTATCCTATATAGCGGCAAATATGGTACATATACATGTTATTACTTATATACATATTATATTTGTTGTGTATATATGTATGATGTATTTTTTGTGTGTATGTGTATGTATGTACTATTCCGGCCCATCTTCCAGTCCTGTTGGCGAGTTCTTAATGGTTACTGCGGTCGAACAGCCATCCCAGAGTGCTTTGTGTAACCCTTGCATTTACGAGTATAATAAATGTTAAAGTACAGCAAATAATAATAACATTAATATCATCAATAATACTGGTAAGGATGAATATACTACTACTACTAACATTAATATAAATAATAACGATAACACTAATGATAACAACAATAACATAAAAAAACAAGGAAGGTTATTTGTAAAATTGTCATTACGTGGGCCAGGTAAGGAGTCCCCATTTGTTTCTTGTATATTACTCACCGGAGAGGACTTGGCATTGATGATGTGTGCTGGAGGTGCATAGTTTTTTCTTCTTCTATTTTCGTTATTCTTTTTATTGACTGTTCGTTATTATTATTATCACAGGGAAAAGGAGAACTTGTATGATTTGGCACATACCGGTATTGCATTCTGCCACTGATATTGTTAATAGAATTAGAATAATTATTAAAATTGGGTACTCTAAGGAGAAGTTTATTTGAAATAAAACATAGAAGAATAAGATCCTTTTATGTAGCATTTATTCTCACATAAAAGTTTGTTTTTCTTTTCTTTTTTTCTTTTTGTAAACAAACAGTTAACACAAGACGATATTATGTA